TAATTTTTTGCATTTATTTTTTATCAATATATCTTAGACTGTGGTTGTTAAATATCTATACCGTGTACGGGTTCTGGGAAGTTGGGGGGGATGTAGGTTGTGGGGGCTCGGAGGGGGGCTTGGGTGGAGGGGGGGGGAACTATTCCAGGTTTGATTTTAAAGTAGTATGATTGCACATGTATGTTGTCTTCTCTTACAACATGATATTGTCTATGTAACTATATACATGAGATTATATGTTATGGAAATGAAAATGAAAAATTCTTCTTAATAAAAAAAATCATAGATAGCCTGTAGATCCCCATATAATTTTACCTGAATAGTCAGGAATTTTGATTTTTGTGCCCCTGTCCAAATCACATTTTATTTCTAGGCAGTTAATATCGTATTATATAGGCAGTCCTCAACTTACAACCACAATTGAGCCCAAAATTTATGGAACATTTGTTAAGTTAGTTTTGCCCCACTTTACAACCAACCTTTCTTACTACAGTTGTCAAATCATATGAAGAAGAAGAAGCAGATCATTATAAGAATCAGGACCTCTACAGCTATTCAGTATCTGGTTATGTATGTCAAATATGGTGAATCTTTTTTGGGGGTGGGGAGGATAACAGTATACCATAGCATCAACAATTAATCCAACTATCTCCCCAAAACTACATGAGCCTGCTAGATCTAGATAAGCAGCAGGAAACTAATATAGCTATTAATGAAGCAAAAAAATAAAGGTTTTTAGTCTTATCAAAAATGTATAGAGTACAGGAAATGTGAAAAGAATTGGGCACTCTGCTTTGATGCTAACAGTTCTGATAAAAACATTCCTCCTCTTCAGTTGTTTGGAAAAAGAAAAGCTTATGAAAAGAGAGATAAAGGTGTGTAGAATAGAAGACTCTTATGTCTGATGCGCTTGCAGATAGAAGTCTATTAAATGATCACTTCCTGCAGTGCTTATTCCAGAAGTCAACATGTTGATAAACATAAAAGAGATTTTTTCTGGTACTAGTTCCATTCTCTAATGGATAGATATGGCTTCCTAAATGAAGGAGGACAGAGATTTTTTTTAATGGTCCAGGTTTCTAAATGGAAGTACAAATGTCCATTTCTGCTTTGTAATAGGATCAGAAAGGCTTCAGAGAATAAATGCTGAAACAGCAGAATTCCATAGCAATGTGCAAAGAACAAATGCACTTATCAGTGTCTTCTACCCTCTTAATTTCTGAGGCAGTTCTTTGATATTCTGATGTCACTGAGAAATGTTTTGCAAACAAATAGTAGTATTGGATCATATTGGCTAGGACTATAGAAAAGACATAAGGCGCAGTATCATGATTTGTGCATGTTGCCTCAGATGTTGGGTTAAATTTAATCTTTTAAGACAGTCAACATTTACTTAAAACTATATGTAATTTTGCTTCCCCACCCCTTACTCAAAAGTTATTCCATACTTTGCTCTACAGTATAAACAAATTCTAAGTAGGACTCTAAATATAAAATAGCAAGATGGAATATATTCTGATAAAACAAAAAAGTTCAGGTCTTTTCTTTTTCACGAGAAGTTGGAAAGTCTGATTGAACTTTTTTTTTTTTAGTCCCACAAGCTTCTTTTGTTGCCCTGGATATA